GTGTCCAAACCAGGTGGCTTTGAGTTCGATCTTTTAGTGCCGAGCCCCGACGTCGCACCGCCAGCACCGACGCGAACCAAGCCTGTACACGGCCGATTTCCAGCATCTCTTGGCCGCGACTTTCAAGCCATTAATCCTCACCTTCGTTCGGCACCGTCGAGCCTGTGTACGAGCAGCCCGGGTCCCGTCCGTCCAAAGTTTACTGTTGAGTTTCGAGGCCGTTTGTTCGACCCGCTATCGGTACCGTTTTCCGTCCGATAGCTTGTAGATTCCCGAAGACGGGTAACTCGTTTGAATCCTCTCGTTATTACGATCGTTTTTATATATTGCATGATAGTTATATATGTCATACGTGCCACCGAATTCTTGTTCGAAATCGAATTCTTTCGGTTTTTTGTTTATGAATTTAAGAGGAAAAATGTCTACCTGGTTATGTGATTTTATTTTTGATCGAGGAATGAGAAAACTGGTGCTGATATATGTTAAGTTCTGTACGGAAATTAAGATTAAATTGTTTTAAGTATCTGATGGACGACATGCGTATGTATGTGTTTGTTTTAGGCCTTGCTGTAATTGAAATTGTTATCATTTGGATTCGTGTTTTTTATATAATTTGAAGTTTAAGAAGTTTTGAATTGAGTATGCTATGTACAAATGTTCTAGGCTATGGTACAACCTTTATTTTGATGTGTGAAGAATTTAGAAGAAATGGTCACTTTTTTTTTTATTTCAAGTAATTCTGTAATATCTTTATATTAATCTGTTAGTGTGAATTTCAGAAAGTGGAAACTACATTCAGTGTTTTAAAAATTGTATTAGTTTGATCATTTAAGATTTTAAATTATAGCTTTATTTCATTTTTGTAAAAGAAAACTTTGGAATTATTTTGAAATGTGTTTTGCACTCTAAATTAAACTCTTTTATTTGCGGTTTGAACTTAAAGTGCTTTAATTGTCAAATTTCTCAGAAATTTTTTTTACTATGCTATAGTGGGGCAATTGGCAAGATGTTTGATATTTGAGGCTTTCTTCGTGTGATTTATAGGTGTTTTAAATTTCAAGTTAAGTGCCTGAGTATATTGAGAATTAGCATCTTTGTGTGTTTTCCTTAATTGGTTTTGAGTCGAGTCGTATGTTCCAAACTCCACGAGAAAATCCCACGAGCCACTTAGTCGACGAGTTTCGACTAAGTTTGTATACTCGTTGGCTTAATTATAATCGAGAGGCTATCTTGATTTCATGTAGGTGTTTTGAGGTGTTGACCTCGCCACTTACCAAGCCTCTCTTTTTGGGATATTTTGCTACCATCAGGTGGGTACAGTTTGTGTATCTATAATTATCGCATTTCATTATTTCGTATAAATGTTCGTCTCGATAACTTTAGTATGCCTGAGAACTCTAGTCTAGTATGTAACACCGCCAGGGGCGTCTCGCCTTTAGTGCCTTTGATGAATGCATAAGTAGTACGAGGTCACCTGCCCGTCGTATCCGGGAGGAGGACGCCCTAGCCCGTGTGTTGGGGAAAAACATCTCGACTGTCTCCTAGAAAGGATCCCTTAGCCCGTGTCGAGTCGAGGTGGGAATGTTTCCGGTTACTCCTTGCCGATGTCTGATCGGAAGGTTGTTGTATGTACATAGGAGGTTTGCGATAGGGCCATTTAGGGAGATAGATCTGGATTCTATGCATACTCTATTTATGGATTTGGATCTTTATGCGAGATAGACTTATACGATATTGGTGAGCATAGTGGTTTTGCTCACCCCCATTGTTGTTTTATCCTCTTGTTTTCTCTTCCTATATTTAGCTTGAGCTTTGTTGGCGGCAGCAGCGAGAGACGAGCAAGTGGTGGTCATTGGATTATCGTGTCTTTGCTTCCGCATTTATTATTTCATGTTGAATTGTTATTGATGGATTATGATGCTTCCGCTTAATCATTTGAACATGTTGATGTGATTATATTTGAAACCTTTTGAATTTGGTTTTGGAAACTTATTATATCTGAGTTTGATTATTATGTTGTAAGAAATGCATGTGGAGGTTCAGGTGTTTATTTTTAATTGTTATTTTTGTTGGTAGTTAAGTAGCGCCCGTTGAAGTACAAAGTTTTAATTTGGAATTTTGAAAAAAAAAATTACTCTGATTTTTATAAATAAATTCGGTAAACTCTTTAAAATAAAACGGGGCGTTACAGTTTGATAGTGACCTAATTCATGGAAATGGGAGAAGATGGAGAGAGAAACTTGTCAAATAGGTGTTTGTTGAATCTGTGGCCATGCTATTTTGGAATTCATACTCTCTCACCCCATATGGTGGGTAGATGGAGATGGAAGCTTGACAGTAAAGGAGTTCACTCATGGCATCTTCATATGCCCATCTTATGGAGCATAAGCTAAGGGGTTTGGACATTGCACAAGGAATCAGGAGTAGGAGCTCAGGTACCATTGTCAGACAGAGAAGTTGGAAACTCCGAGTGAAAAGGTAAATAAAGCATTTCATTTGTAATATGCTTTACAGGTATCCTCCATGTTTGCTTCAACCTTAGGATAAAAGGGATTGCTATTGACTCTATATGCAGATATTGTGGTGAGGCTGAAGAGACTATTGATCACTTATTTTTAACTTGCAATGGAGCTTAAGAAGTGTGGAAGATCTCTCCTTTACAGTGGGATGGTATCAGTACGGAGCGGAGCAGCTTCAAAAGCTGATGGTGGATATGGCGGTCAAGGAACCTGTAATATTTAGCAAGGAGCTCATGCCAATGCAAATTGTTGTTAAGAGAGCTCTCTTGGAGTGGCAAGAATTTTGTGCTCTTGCTTAAATCTTGCTTTGCTGATTAGCTTAGGTCACCTTGGTTTGTTTCTTTGTGTTGTTTTCTTTTTAGCTTTTTTTTTTTTTTTTGGTTGGTTAGTATCAGTTGGAAGTGTTGCTAGTGTTTTCCTTCTGTGGCTTGTTTTGTTTGTGTTATTGTTAGGGCTGCTTGGGCTTGGAGTTTGTAGTGGTTATGCTAGCTTCAATTTCTTGTTTCTAGTCGGTTTTGCACGCTCTTGCAGTGTTCCTCTCAGGTTCTCGTCGGCTGTCTCGGGAGTTTCCCGTTTGTATTTGGACTAAGTTTTTCTCTTTTTAATGAGTATTTTATTGTTGAAAAAAAAAATAATAACCATAGATTTTATTCCCTTCTTCATATGGGATAGTTAGAAATTTAGTTAAAGTAACTATTTTTTATTCCATTCAGATCTTTCGAGAAAACTAATTCCATTTTTCTTATTGTGGATAATGTTTCAAATTGATTCTATGGCTTTTTAAATAAAAAAGAACACTGTTTAATTTTTTTAGTAGTGTTTCAAATTTGATTGCAGTTTCATTAATTACAAATCTTCAAATACGTTACAAATTTTCAAATACGTAACTTGTGAGTCTTCACTTTTATAATACTTCCTAAATTACTTTTATAATTTTGTAATTTTTATATCATCTTACCATTTTTCATTTAATTTTTCCCTTTTTTCCACATTCAACTTTCAAATATGTTGAAAATCTTTTTTCCTATATTTGTGTTTGGAATCTTTATCAAGTTATAAAAAACTTGACTGTCTTTATTTAAACTATGTAAGTACGTTCATCAATTAATAGAACCTTTAATTTTTGTATTTCTTAAAATATCTAAAGCTTGAACCATTAAAATTTAAAATCCACATTGTTTTGACAAGTTTAGTAAAACCTTTATAGCTGAAACATAAATGGAACATTTTCTTAATAAATTAATGTATTTCATTGAATAGCACGATATATATACCACATTGAAAATTTTATGCTTTGATTTTTTTATTTTTATTTTTATTTATTTTTTTTTTGGTACATTAAAAATAGATACCAATGCACCTATGGATACATTTATATCTATATTTATTAATATATAAAAGTGCTAAATATTTACCTTAAATAGTGAGAAAAACTCAGCCTAAAACTTTTATTTTACTAAATATACAAATTCCAAATTTTTATTTTACTAAATATACAAATTCCAAAATATTTACATGGGTAATTATCGAGTTGTCCATATTACATGTAGACCCAATTTTTTTTTTTTTTTATCTAAAATTAGTACATAGGAATTTTTAATTTATTCCTTCTATGTATGTGAGTCATATCTTTATATTCAACGTTCACATATTTTGATTTTGATTAATCTATACAATCTTTTAGCTGAAACCTTCGGTGATATGACATAATAGAATCCGTGTACATAATTTTTTCAGTGAATATTAACGTAAAGAAGAATAAAATTATTTTTTGAAAGTTATTCTCAAAACTGTACAATGTTTATTAATCTATTATCTGACAAATTTGTAAAAAAAATACAAGCAATCACAAGCTTTTTTGAAATTCGTTAACATTTGAATTAATTTAAATTTAGTATTCACAAGTGGTGATTAAAAAATTGAATTATGAAAACTCATTAATATTATTTTTACATTAATTTGATCTAATTGATAAAAGAAATGATATCTTTATAATTTAAAGCAATTAATAAATGAATGAAAAAATTAAATTATAAAATACTTTTAAATTTGTGTGTGCTTAAAAAGATATACATACTGATATTTTATGTTTATACCTTAGAAGATACATACAAAATCACCTTAAAATCAATATTAGGTTTGTTCAAATGATTAATATGATCATTTATTCCAACATATATTTTTATTCAAATCACTAATATCATCTTTTCATCCAAGATATAATTTTTAAAAATTACTTAATATATTTGTTTAGTCCAACATCTAATTTATAAAAATAACTTATTATAATCATTTAGTCCAACATTTAATTTTAAAAAATAACCTCAATATGTTTGTTTAGTTCAACTTTTAACTTTAATACTGTTTTGTTATGCATCGCACGAGATATGCACAAGTTAATCAAGACACAAGAGGACAAATGGCCATTTTCAGAATTTGGCCATAAAATTTGAAAATCAAACGATGTAAATTTTTGGGACGTCATTTGTTGACAAGAAAGTTGGAGAAATTTGAGAACACTGCAATGAGGCTTGTCCCAACTGCTAGAAAGATCACCAACACTGCAAACACCTTATCCCGCCTGTTTGACATGCCGTGGACATCCCTGCAGGAAGGAAGTTCGTATTCATATATGCCGAGTTGCGACGACATTATAGAAACAAGCTTGTTCGTATCCCATTGAACGCAGGGGAAGATCTGTGCACTAATCACAGTCCCGACCTAAATACTCCCATAAATTTATTTTCCCACACAACTTCTGTCTGTTTTCTTCTAATTAATTATCTACACATAAATTCATATAAATTAATATATGAGGAACTGGAAACGAAAATGGCATTATACCTGAGCACAATAGAGCTGGGAAATATGAACATGAGACACATGACCGTGGTTGTCCCCATAAACTGAAAGAAGATCCATATGTCTGGGATGGCTATGGCTGCCACGTAGATAAATGCAAGCAAAATACAGGTGAGAGACAAAAACCGCATGTTATTTTCCCGAGCCAATAGGGGCGTCTTGGGAAAGAATAATTCGGCGACGTTCGCCCTCAACGAGTAATTCATCACGGGGAACACCAGCATGAGGTGAATGGCGTAACTCAATCTCACTGTATCATTCACAATAACACCAACAGAATCTGAAGTTTTGTCAAAGTTGACCAGCATATCGGCCATGATTGAGTCCCCAAAAAGAAGGTATCCAAAGAAGCCCACAGCAAAATATATTGCGACACATAACACGAGAGAAATTCGGACGGCCGGCTTCATATCAGCGGCTCTGCCAAGCTCTGATCTAATGGGATGAACTGAAAAAAAAAAAAGGGAAACAATAATAATTATAATAATAATCAGAAAAATAATACAAGTACTCTTGCTCTAACATATTCGGACAATAAAGATACGAAAGCATACTAGCATTACATTATTGTTCACAAGTTATGACAAAACCCTCACCTTTAGAGTGTTATCATCAAGGAAGTAGCATGATTATACTAAAAAAGACCTAACATTTCAAGATGTATCACTAACAACACTTAATTCTCTTTTTTTGCTTCATTATCTTCATAAGAAAACTTGCATAAATTTTGCATCCTTACTATTGACATGGCATCCAAAGGCAGTAGCAAAAATAGGAATTGTAGTAAAGAGATCAAATGCTGAGACGTCAGTTGTAAAGTGCGGAAATAATCTTGGTCTCTGTGTCTTCCCTGCCCACATTGCATGTATTGCCATTACCGAGCATATGGCAACAAAAAACGCAGCTAGAAACACCGATATAGCTGAGGCATGCCTCAGTGAGTCTGCAGGTGACAAGCTGTAAAAATATTGGTCATTCTTGTAAATCTAAATAATCTGCCTGCATTTCTTTAAACTGTATGCATGCTTCTCTCTGCACAATTTTTAACATTTTTATAACAAGGGCATTGGTTCAAAGCCTATTAAAAACTCCATATGCTGTAAAAATATTAATTCTATGTAGATCACTTCAATATATAGTCACGGACTTGCTATTTTTCTCTTTTTGATGGAATATGTAATCATAAACAAGTTGTAACTAAATCAGTGAATACGTAGTTTCGACTCGAAAAGACCCTACGAGGCTGTCGCCAATGCGTGAAGTATGCATTTATATCCTCAGAAAAAGTGGCTTGCTAACCCATGCGCCGAAGAAGTAGCAACGGAAGTAAGATCAGGAGCACAATGAATAGCAGTGAGAATGCACGTGAGTTCCACCAACGGATACCGAACCATTCCTGTAAAATGCCCAAGTGTACTGTTCCTCCCGACTCGTTTCCCGAGAGAACATCTCCTGCAAATACCATCAATGAAATCGTAAAAGAAATGAACATATGTGACTATATTGACTACAGAATAACTATTTTTCCGACTCAGAATTGAAAAGAAGTTCAAGATAATGTAGGCAGGTCGAAACTCCAAATTCAATACATAAAAGTGAGTTGTGTGATCAAGAAAGTCATGTAAACATGGATATATGTAGAGAAATAATGTGTGATGCATTGGTGGTATACAAGACTCAATATTAGCCTAGTATTCTACTCTGTACCCGGGTGAGCTTAGCTGAAAAACAAGTCACCGTTCATTTTCAGATAACTCTAGATATGGCTGACTCTAAAATTTTCGACTCATAAGGTCCCAGTATATCAAAGGCTTCACATACGAGAAGTCAGGGGAAAAGGACTACCATGAAAGGTAAGCCAACCAAAACAAAAAGAGCGAAAAGAAGAAAAAGAAAAGCAATCTGTAGGAAAATATTGCAGACTTCATTATTTCAATATCCGAACGCGATTAAGGATAACTGCTGTTAATTCAAAACGGATTTCTCCATGATGCAAAATTTCACCCCAAGTAACCAGGGAAAACAAGAAAATCAGTAATATTAATATTAATATATATAAAAAGAAAGAAAGAAACAGCACACTCTCAACCATCAAACCAAATCCACACCCACTCGAAGGCAACTCACCAATTATAATCAGATAAATGATCAATGCCCCAAGGTTTGTAATCACAACACAGACTTGAAGCCCGATGGACCCAAACTTCCCGAACGACTCCTCCATCAGCCCTCCATACGTATCTGACTCCCCCGAGCGAGTGTACTTAAGCAAGAACTCCACTGTGACCTCCACAAAATAAGCAATAACCAAAATAACAAGAAAGCTAGGAAATACGCCGAGGACCTTGAAAGTGGCCGGGATCGACATGATCCCGGCACCCACCATCCCTGTCGAGATGTTGAATACGGCGCCAGAGATCGATGCCCCCGATTGCTTGTCGACAGCCGAATGGAATTCAGGGAGCAGGGGAGCTACAACTCCACTGTCCTGCTTTTCTCGCTTCATCCTAGCTAGCTCCACTAATCAAAGATGAAAAGTCAAAAGGAAATAATGTTGTGAGTTATAATAATTGATATGGATATATTTTATACAAAGCAATGAATGGTAAAGTTAACATATGATTGACACAAAATAATAGTATTTAAAAAGAGGTGTATATAGAAAAATACACAGCCCACATGATTCACTGATGACTGCACATTCATTCAAAAATGGAATTAAGTAGAGCTAGTGGTGGGGGTGTTGTGGTTAAAGCCACCAAATACAATGACGACTTCAACCGAATAATAAAGTACCAAGTCCAATTGAACAACAATAATAACCACAAGCAATAGCAACCAAGGGATGACCAAGCAAACAATAAAATGACACAAGAGATTTTAGCGTGGAAAACCCCAAATTGGGTAAAAACCACGGGACCCGTAGGCCGCTTAAATCATCCACTATTCAATCTGATAATGGGTACAACCAAATCCTCTCTAGTTCACCAAACTAGAGGCAAACAACAATCCTCAAGATCACAACACAAGATCTTGGTAAACCACAAGAAACAAATCAACAAAACACCACAAATATCCCCTTCACGTCAGATACGAACAGACAACCCTAACGTGCTCAAAACCCGATCTCCACCGTTCAAAACAAAGAGTAAGAAGTTATGAAC